TTTTTTTAAGAAAAAATAAAATTTTATATATCATTTGGCTTTTTCTTGTTAGGAAGTAGTAATGCTCTTTTCAGCTTTCAGCATCCAAAGTGGAAGTCAGAAGTCAGTGTGGTTTTGATGTTCTCCCATAGATAGTTGTGACATTTCTCAGTAAAGGACTTAGTTTCATAGAAATGAATATTTCCCGAGTTTGATTGATGAATGTCTTCACATTCCAGACATGGTGACAGTATGGAATTTTTAACAGTGCTGCCAAGCTTCTTGACTGATGATACATTGTGAGTTTTATTTATGTACCCCGAAGCTTTACTGTTATGAGCCATACATTGCTTGGGTCAGTGAGCCCTTTTGAGATTTCTTGCAAGGTGTGTGTCCCATTTTAACTATTAAATTCCTTAAACATTTATTATCTCACAGTTTCTCGGGGTTTGGAATCTGGAAATGTGTTATCTGAGTGGCTCTGGCTTGGTGTCTAATGTGTCTGCAGTCATCTGAAGGCTTGCATGGAGCTGGAGGATCCCCTTCCAGGGTGGCTCACTCATATGCCTGCAGGTCATGCTGGTTGTTGACAGGGGGCCTGATTCCCATCACAAAAATCTGTCAGTGTTGCTTGAGTGTCGTAAAAAAAGGACTGCCCACACTGAAAGAAAAAGAATTATGTTCTGCCTTTTCAAGGTAAGAATAGCAAAGAATTTGTAGATATATACACACACACACACACACACACACACACACCCCCCCACAAGGTTTAGAGAGTCTCACTTTATAGAGCCTTTGGAAGTAAATTTCCATGCACTTAAATTACCTGTGAAGGTGCTAATTTGATTTTAATTGTTCAGTCATCTTAACTGCTCTTCCCAGCGCCCCTTTCCAGGTGTGATACAATAACCGGGGTTGATAACTATCCTTTTCTGTATGAGAAGATAAAAAAGCATTCTAAAATCCTAGGGCACATAGAAGGAAACTATATGGACAAGTGATTGTCAAGGTGTTCTTTTCTCCTCTTGTAGGATATGGATAGAGGGGGTACTTTTACCTCTTTATTGGTTTTTCATAGTCTAGGAAATTGCAGAATTTGGTTTTCCTAATTTTCAAACTGATTCTGTTTCTTTAGGAAGGGACCAAAAGGAGAAGAAGCTCCTCTTAGTATAGTGAGCACACAGAGGATAATCTATAAATGTATGTTAAATTAAGGAATTTTTTTTCTCATAGGGATAGCTCTTGGCATAATTGTAGCTACTGATTGTCTATAGTAGACATCCTTAAATTCATTACATGTTAGGTTTTATTACCCCACCTCTCCCCCACCACCAACATTACCATCCATTAAAATTTAAGTTATTGGTAGTTCCCTAATTCTAAGGTGATATTTTACAGCTTTGATGCCTTTGCCGTTTCTTCTTCCTGGATTTCCCTTAGCTTGTACTGTGAAGCCCCCCTAATCTTGCTCACAGCTCCAGGTTATTAATGTTTTCTCTGTACTACGTTTGTATTTTTAACTACTATTATTGGATTG